ACTATCTGATCAGGCTGCTGTCCTAGCCATGGTGACTGGGTCCCTCGGTCACACAGTACTACTGGACTGTAAACAGAAGGGGCCATGGGAGAGGGAGGTGTGTGGCACAGCCCTGGATCTGGCCCCAACTCCTGAGGAATCTCAGAGACATGAACAAAGGGTCCCTCCATTCACCTACCTTGGGCTTCTGAGCTTTTTTCTTCATTATTCTGAGACAGGTTCTCATGTAGCCCAGGCTGGCCTGGACCTCTGTATGTAGCCAAGGTTGGCCTTGAACTCCCAGTCCTCCTGCTTCCATCTCTCAGTACTGGGGTAACAGGTGTACACAGCAGCAACCTGAACTGCTGCTTTTTTAAAGGCTACATTTATTTTATGTCCCTGTATGCAGACATGTTTGTGTGTGTGCATGCCATGGTGCACTCAGGGAAGAGACCTCAGAGGACAATTTACAGGAGTCATTCCTCTCCCTTCATCACGTGGGTCCTAGGGATGAAATGCCGGTACTCTGTCTTCACTAATAAACCATCTTACCAGTCCGGATTTGCTTTTTGGGGAGACCAGGTCTCTTACTCTGCTGCCTAGGTTTGCTATCCCCCTATCTCAGCTTCTGAAGGGCTGGGATTCAAGATGTGTGCTGAGGCTCCTGGGACTCCTTGAGTGTCTGTATGGGTGTTTCTGGCACTTGTCCCGAGAAACAAGGCTGGTGCTGGTCAGAGCTCTACAGCTTGTCTGTGGGTTGGGCATCTCATCTAGAGATTCAAGAGGATGCACACCAGGGGCTGGAGAGATGGCTCAGCCCCTAGCAGCACTGGCTGCTCTTCTAGAGGACCAAGTCCAATTCTCAGCACCCACATGGTAGCTCACTCTTGTCTGTAACTCCAGTCCCAGGGCATCCAATGCCCTCTTCTAAGGACAGTATACACACATGGTGCACAGGCATACATGCATGTGAAACATCCATACACATAAAGTAAATACATTTTTTGTTTGCTTTTTGAGACTAGGTCTCCCTGTGTGGCCCCTGCTGCCTTGGAACTCACTCTGTAGACCAGGCTGGCCTCAAACTCAGAGATTTGCCTGCCTCTGCTCCCCAAGTGCTGGGTGCTGGGATTAAAGGTGTGTGCCACCACACCTGGCTTTTAAAATATATATATTTTTAAGTTTAGGCTACTGAGAAGCAGAAGCAGAAGGATCTCTGTGAGTTCCAGCCCAGCCAGGGCTACACAGCGAGACCCTGTCTCAAGCAAACATCAATAATAAAAATAAGAGCAGGCAAGATGGATAGTTCAGTGGGTAAAAGTGCTTACTGCCAACATGAGTTCGATTCCTGGGAGAGACATAGTTGAAGGCAAGAATCACCTCTGACCTCCACATATGTGCATGTGGTATGCCTTCATGGTATGCATACCCAGGCTGTATGTGGTGTGTGTGTGTGTGTGTGTGTGTGTGTGTGTGTGTGTGTACATCTAACAATGAATACATTAAACACACACACAAACGAAAAGAAAAGTTCGGAAGAGAGCAGAAGCTGCATAAGGAGGTCAGAAGACACCTTGAAACCCATGTGGGCTGGAAACTGACAGTGGACTGGGCCAAGAGTAGTGACTTCCACAGAGGAACGAGGGGGGCTACCTGCCAGATAACAACTACACAAAATGCATTCTTCAAGTGCACGCAAACTCAAAGGTCCCAACTTCCAGGCTGAGGCCTGGCTCAGGGGAAGGCTCAGAGGCCCAGAGTTCCAGCCCAGCCCAGCACAAAAGCCAGACTAAAGAGTCAGAAGTGCATCAAGTCACTGACAGCTGAGGGGATCCTGAGCTCACAGGGCTCAACACCAGAGACCCAACTAAGTAATGGAAAAAATAAAAAAGTTGGAGTATGCTAAAGTTAAAAATGGAAACCAATTCAAGATCCTGGTCAGCATAGCAAGTCCAAGGCTGGCCAGAGCCTCATAAGACCCCCATCTTACCCAAAAAACAAAAAACAAAAAAAACCCAAGGGCCATTGAGATGGGTCAGAAGGATTAAGGCTCTTGCTACCTAGCCTGAAGCCCCAAATTCAATCCCAGAACCCACAAAGTGGAAGGAGACATGAATTCACAAAGTTGTTGTACACAAAATTAAAAGACATTCTATTCAAAGCACACTCTGTAAAGAATGCCCTTACGAGAATTAGAAGGCCACCTACTAGGAAAGAAATCTTTCCAAAGATAGTGGATCAAGGACAGTCATAGACAAGACAAAGGACGCAAAAGTTGACCAGAGGCAAACAAAACAATCCATTGGAAACTGCTCAAAAGACCTAGCCAGGATCCTGAGCACAGAAGACCTGCACATCAGAACAAAGCTGCACAGAGAGAAGATATGTAGAAAGAGAAGTATGCATTTCAAAAGCTCCCCCAGACCATCATGGGTGTGTGTGCAAATGAGGACAACAAGCACCCGTTGGAAAGGAGAAATTCCCAGACACTGCTGGCTAGGAGTAGCTCAGGCCTGGGAGCCTTATGTGGAGCCTTGATCAGAACTCCTAGAACCTGAAAGCTCGTCAATATTTTTTGGGTGTGTTTATTCATCTATATTTGCTTGTGTGTGTGAGGTCTGAGGACTTCAGGAGATTGCTCTCCCTCCACTGTGTGGGTCCCAGAGATTGAACTCAGGCTGTCAGGCTTAGTTCCTTACTATTTTGAGTCATCTCTCTAGCCCTGGCTTTGTTTTGCTGCAGCCTCCCCCAGTGCTGGAGTGACAGGCAAGCATCCTTACAGTATTCAGTATATAACCAAACCGTTCTGTGGTTCCCCGAGGGAATCTGTTCCAGTGCCTTTGAATATCAGGGTCCCCAGATACTCAAACCCCTTAGTGACAGGCTGTGGATGCCTGGAGATGAGGTTATGGCCCCATGTGGGTACATATTGAGCCAGCTCTCCAAGACTCCCATGGATTATAAATGCCACTGGGTGAGTAGTACCCAACACAGGACAGCTTTGGATGTCATATCACTCTGTATTGATTAGGAATGACAAGGAAAGTAAATCTGCATGTTCAGAACAGACTCAGGCCCTACAGATCCAGCAGGGCAGGTGGTGTGGCCTAGAAGCAGAGGCAAGGAGATTGCCATCCTGGGCTGTGTAAGAAAAACCTAACACACACACACACACACACACACACACACACACACACACACACACACCAAATAAAAACAAAACTCCCTATTCAGCAATTCCCCTAGAATCCTAAACCTTCATGAAATGACCCAAATGTCATCTTTTGCTTCCTATGGTAAAGAGAAACTGATACACCCCCCTCTCCAGGTCATTCAGATCTTGAATAAACAGATCTGGCCTGCTTTTGCTCCATGTGAGAAACATGTGGTGTTCTCTCCCTCTGTGGTGAGGGCTAAGGTAGGCCCTCAGTCCCAGGTGATATGTTAGATGTTCCTCAACAGTGTAACAGCTGTGCACACCTGGGCAGGCAGTAGGAATTCCACATCCTCCCCAGGCCGTCAGAGTGTAACAGGACTGTGCTGGTTTGCTGTAGATGCTACTGTTTAACGGAAAGGACCTGAGAGGTGTTGTGGACTGATATATCTGTATTTCACAGGTTTTGGGAAAACCCCAGAGAGGCAAAGCCTAGAGTCACACAATAGTGGGCAAGGGGCAGAGGCTGGGTAAATATGGAACCTGAAGCTACCTAACCCTGCTACAAGGGGTTGCCCTTGGGATCCTTTGTACCCAGGCTGACTGCATCCCTCACCACCTGGCTTCAGGTACGGCTTGAAAAAATCCTCTCCTTCTATTACCCAGATGTCTCCACCTTGCTTTGTCTAGATCTTGCCCCAACAATGGCTCCTGGGTGAAGGTCAAAATTGCACCATCTTCCTCCCCCAGGCCGCATCACATACTTCCTCCTCTTCCACTGTTTCCCTTTTTCTTTTTGGGCCCCGCGGGTATTATGTATATTTATTTAACATGCCCATCCCCCTTCACCCTGGCTTCAGTCTCCCAGCACTTAAAGTGTTTATCTGAAGAAGGTGTGGGAGGGTTGAAGGTCCCAGAGACCCAATTCTTTGTATTCATTTATTTATTGTAACCTTTGTTTGTTTGTCTCCCGCCCCCCCCCCATACAGGGTTTTCTGTGTAGCCGTAGCTGTCCTGGAACTCTCTTTGTAGACCAGGCTGGCCTTGAACTCAGAGATTCATTTGCCTCTTTCTTTCCAAGTGCCAGGATTAAAGTTGTGTGCTGAAACTGCCCAGATGTTTATTGTAACTTTTAATCACTACATTGCAACTTTTTTTTTTACATTTGTGTGTATGTGTAGGCAAGTGTGTCTATGTGTGTAGGCATGTGTGCCACATTGCACTGTAGAGATCAGAGACGACATATGTGAAGGGATTCTTTGCTCCTAGAGACAGGCTGTGAGCCATCTCGCATGCCCCAGTTTTGTTTCTTATTTGAGACAGGGTCTCTTGTAGCCAGGGTTGGCTTGAACCTAATGCATTCAACCTCCAAAGTGTTGAGAGGATAGGGGAATACCACCATTCCATGCTTTTCTTTCTGTCTGTCTTTGAAGGGAAGACAGAGACAGAGGGTCTATGTGGCCCCGGGCTGGACTTTAATTCTCCCAGTAGCCCAGACAGACTCCAAACTCTTGATTCTCCTGCCTCAGCTTCCAGAATAGCTTATATGTCAGGCTCACGCAAGTATTTCACAGAGCATACTTCTGGTGAACACAGTGACCCCAGACTCCCCATGCATCGGTCCAGGTTTCCCAGGGCCTGAGGCTGGGGAGACACCGGGGAAGCCTCCTCAACCCGTGTTCCCCGCGGAGTCCCAGGTGCCACCCCCGCATTCTAGTCTTGCTGTTGTGCCCGGTGTGTTGACGCCGTCGTCATGGGGACGGACGGGGGCGGGCCCAGGCCACAGGGGGCGGAGCCTGGAGCGCACAGCCAGGGCTCCCGCAGTGGCGGCTGCCGCCGCCGCCAGGCTTTTATACCGCGGCTAAATTTAGGCTGAGTCCGGAGCTCGTCCCCATCCGGGACGCGTTTCCGCCGCCGCCTCCTGGCCCGCCTCCCCCGTGCCGACCGCGCTTATAAGGCCTGGGCGGGCCGGCCCGCGGCACACACAATCTTCAATCTTTGCCATGGCGCTCAGCGAGCCTATCCTGCCGTCCTTCGCCACCTTCGCCAGCCCGTGCGAGCGCGGCCTTCAGGAGGTGAGGGCGGCGGGGGCAGCAGGGGACCGGGCCTCAGGGTGTGGGTGCAGGAGCGAGGACTGGGGGTGGCAAACAACGGGATGCAGATCCGCGGTCGGAGACCTTGGGCTACAGGGCTTAGATTGCCGGCGGTGAGGAATTAGACCCTCTGGCTGTCGGGGAAAGAGGTGGGCTCAAGGACCAAGGATGCCACTCGAGGATGGCTTCCTGTGGTTGCGGGTCGCGGACGCCAGAGAGTTAGATCCCGGACGCATCGGGGCTAAGGACGTGCGCGCATGTAAGGGATGGGAACACTGGGTGCAGTCCGCGGGCACCTGGGAGTTACGTTAGATCTTGGGGTACCGGGAAGCACGACCAGGTGGCCCTGTACTCATGTCCTGCGCCCTGTCTCCCGCAGCGCTGGCCGCGCAACGAGCCTGAGGCGGGCGGCACTGATGAGGACCTCAACAGCGTGCTGGACTTCATCCTGTCCATGGGGCTGGACGGTCTGGGTGCCGAGAGCCCTCCCGAGCCACCGCCACAGCCCCCGCCGCCTGCGTTCTACTACCCGGAGCCGGGCGCCCCGCCGCCCTACGGCACCCCCGCGGCGGGCCTGGGAACCGAGCTGCTGCGCCCCGAGCTGGACGCGCCTCCGGGGCCCGCTCTGCACGGCCGCTTTCTCCTCGCGCCCCCGGGGAGGCTGGTGAAGGCTGAGCCCCCCGAGGTGGACGGCGGCGGCTACGGCTGCGCGCCCGGCCTGACCCGCGGGCCTCGAGTGCTGAAGCTCGAGGGCGCCCCGGGAGCGGCAGGTGCATGCATGCGGGGTCCGGCCGGCCGTCCCCCGCCGCCCCCGGACACGCCGCCGCTCAGCCCCGACGGCCCCACGCGCCTTCCCGCGCCGGGTCCCCGCAATCCGTTCCCACCGCCCTTCGGCCCGGGTTTCGGCGGCCCTGCTCCCGCGCTGCACTACGGGCCGCCAGCGCCCGGCGCCTTCGGTCTCTTCGACGACGCGGCCGCCGCAGCGGCGGCCCTAGGCCTACCTCCCCCCGCCACCCGCGGCCTCCTCACGCCACCCTCGTCCCCGCTGGAGCTGCTGGAGGCCAAGCCGAAGCGCGGCCGCCGCTCCTGGCCCCGCAAGCGCGCCGCCACGCACACTTGCAGCTATGCCAACTGCGGCAAGACCTACACCAAGAGCTCTCACCTAAAGGCGCACCTGCGCACGCACACAGGTGGGCGCCTGGCCTCACTCGGGTGGGGGAAGGGGAGCTGCGGCAGGGGAACAGCCGCGAGTTCAGGGCCAGGCCAGCCTACAGAAGGTCCCCACAGTCTCTGGTCCTGGCAAGGGGGCGTGGCAGATTTAACAGGTTGGCTAGGGGAACTCAACTCAGGTCTCAGACTATGGGACCGGTGCAGACTTAGGATCTATCGGGACAAGACTCTCATCGCCAGCACTGTATTAACGCCTGGCACAATGGCGATGAGCAGGAGGGTGAGGAATTCAGGGTTAGATAGCCTGATGTATTCCATAGTTAATCTCAGAAAGCTAACGTTCTGAGGGGAGAGGCGCACCTGAGCCTGCTGGGGACACAGCCACGCTCTGTCTAGATTGTGGGTGGCAATGAGGATGGAGAGGGGAGGGGGCAGTGCTGGGGGCCCGAATTATGCTTTCGGGGAAACAGGCTGACTTGTCATCCCCTCCCCTGCAGGTGAGAAGCCTTATCATTGCAACTGGGATGGCTGTGGCTGGAAGTTCGCACGGTCAGACGAGCTTACCCGCCACTACCGCAAGCACACAGGTCACAGGCCCTTCCAGTGCCACTTGTGCGACCGTGCCTTCTCCAGGTCCGACCACTTGGCCCTGCACATGAAGCGACATATGTAGCCTGGGTAGACCCAACTACCCCATGCACGGCCGTGGCGGGTCCCACGCGCCGGCACGGTCCCTTTGCAAACTGCTATTTATTGGACCCTGAGGATGAGCCGGGCAGTGTGGCCACAGGACAATGACTCTGCCACCAGTTCTGGCTCCCACTCTGACTGAAGGCCCCGGAGAAGAAGATAGGAGCCTGTGACGAATGTTTTCAAAATGGTGCAATAATTGACTTATTTTTCCTCGGGTCCCCACTAGAGGATCGAGGCTAGATGCCTTGTGAGAAATGGTCTTTGTACTGTCACCCGCGTCGTTTTTTATGATATTGTATATAAGTGACTGGCAGATTGTATTACTTTAAGGGAGACGATGGCATCTTTGCCGCCTGCTTCGATTTTGTAAGACTTAGTATTTTTTAATTAAAAAAATTTTGGATCTTTGGAAGAATCATGGCAGTGGTGTGGCTGGGAGGGGGGGGAGCCCCTGAGGGAACGGCTCCTGTGGCCAAGGTTACCAGCTGCAGCCCCCAGCTGCCAGGGCCTGTGGGTTCTCTATAAATATAAACATGGTGTTTTAGGATGGCACTGGTTATTTTAAGGCAGCCACTTTGAGCCATAATTTGCCCCCTTATTCCCCAGAGCTGGGAAAAGTGTTGGTCTCACTGATGTGGCCATTTCTAAGCTGGGGGGGGGGAGGAAAATTAAATCTTTTTCTGGTAACTTCTGGGGGTTAGCCAAACTTAAGGAGTATGCTGGTGTCTCACTGCTTTTTTTAAAGTTTTATTTTTGGAAGCAGGGCCTTAATACGTAACCCAGGCTGGCCACAAACTCAGTTCCCTCCTCCACCTCCCAAGTGCTGGGATTGATCTTTTATAGGGGTAAAATTTTACTACATTTTTGTAGGAGGGGGTTGCACATTTGTGTTGCTCTTTGTGGGTCGGGGATTCAACTTAGGTCTTCAGGCTTAACTGTGTAAGTTCCCTCACCCAGCTGAGCTGGCTCCCTGTCCCTATCTGAGACTCAACGTCTCACAGCTGAGAAAGTTGAACTAATGGCATGTGAGCATGGTGACATGTGACACCTGGCTTTGATTTTTGTTATTTTTGGGACAGGCTAGATGACATGTGCCTCACGCCCTGGGCAAGGCAGTGGTTTTGCAGTCACCCACCTGTGTTGTGTTGGACAACATGAGGCCGAGGTGGTCCTGCAATGCCCAGAGGCAGCCAGCCTAACCCTTTAATTAGCAGGTGCCTCTGCCTGAAGACTCCCTCTGCTGGGGGGGGGGGGAGGGAAGGCCCCAGTAACCATGGCTACTGACAATTGCCTAAGTTACTTCCAGAAAGTGAAAATAGCTCTTAGGCAAAGCCCAGTTTAATGCACTCACCCCAGTTGCTACAGAGGCAGGGATTTCCTCTCCATCCTCCCCCTTCCTGGGGCCACGCTAGCCCTGGAAACAGCTGACAACTCTTTGGTAATCTGTGAAAAGCAGAAATGAGGATGATAATGTGATTCATATTTCGAGAGTAAATACTCAGGCTTACTTCCGCTGCAGAGGGAGGGTGAGTGAGTTCTCTGTGCCCTTTGTGAAAAACTTTTGCAAAACTCCCGAACCTCACAGTGGCCCCTCAGCTTGGGCACCCCCCATGCTCAGAGCTAAGAGGGTTGGGATTTTTTGTCTTTGTTTTTTCAAGACAAGGTTTCTCAGTGTAACAGTCCTGGATTTTCTGGAATTCACTTTGTAGAACTCACTGACGTCCACCTGCCTCCCTAGTGCTGGAATTAAAGGCCTGAGCAGCCACTGCCCCCACCCCCTTCATCTGGTTTTTTTGTTGGTTTGCTTTCTTTGCGGGGTGGAAAGTGTACTGCCTCTGAACCACACCCTGAGCCCTTCACATGTAAATAGCTATGTGCACAGCCCTGCAGTCTTTTCCTGAAGCTATTTTTCTTATTCAATTTTTGGTCTCGGGTAGCCCAGGCTGGTCCCAAGTTTAGCACAATGTTCCAACCCCAGCCCAGGATAGAGCTGTTTTTCCTGTTCTTGTGAACACCTTCAGCTGTCACCTGGAGAGCTGAGGCCATAATGGCCCAGCTGAGAAGCCACAGGTCCTGCTGTGTGACTCCTGCTTGCTGCTGACATGGGTTGGAGGCCCCTCCGGCAATGGGCTTGGGCAGTGTGTGCCCCACGGACTAACCCAGAAACATCCTGTCCTTAATACTCCAGCTGGCTGGTATCTAAATGATACACGGGCAGCCTACCTACTGCAGAGATGTTCTTGGCACCAGCTGTTGAGTTCTGCTGAGGCTGAACACCCTGCTCTGGGTCTTGAGCCCAGTTTGGGACAATATGACCCAGGGGATGTGAGGAAAACTTGTCACCATTCTTGGGAATTCTGGGAAGAGACAGGCATCTGACCATTTTCCTTCCTCCAGAAAAGCTACCCACAGCCTGGTTTATGTCCCTTTTTTGCTTTTGTTTTTGTTTAGTTCGAGACAGGTGCGCTCTGTGTAGCCCTGACTAGCCTAGAACTCAGCCTCCAGAGGGCTGGGACCAAAGGGTGTGCACCAAGCTGGGCCATCCCATCCGTGGCCTTGCAGAAAATGTTAAACGTCAAGGGTTGGCAAGATGACTCAGTGGATGAAGGCAATAAAGGCGATGGCTGCTAAGGCAGGCTACCTGCACACCAGGGACCCACAGGATCGAAGAGCAAGCTGAGTTCTGCAGTTGCTTTCTGGTCTCACCTGCACTGTGGCAAATGTGCCACACCACATAAAACAAATATATTAAAATGTAATGAACACAGAATGTTAACCATAAAAAACACCACATTCTATAAGCCACTCCACCCGAACTTTCTTGTTTTGTCTGTGGAGGTGGGCCTGCTTCATGTTTGAATTGCTCTCACAAAGCTATGAGTATTGGTGTAGCCTATATTCTCCTTGAACTGGTAAACAGTTTTCACCCTGTGCATTTCCCTGTCCTTCATGGCTGCACAACATTTCACTTAGGTATTCTAGAGGTGCTCATGCAAACAGACATTGGGGGTACAGTGGGTTGCTTATGCTCCTTCTATTCTCTAAGTAATATAACAGCACAAGGTCTTTACAATGTGTCACATATTCTAAATCACGTGTGTGCACATGTATGTGGAGGCCTGGGGTTGATATCATCCCATCTCCACCTACTCAGTGCAGCAGGGTCTCCAAATAAAACCAAGAGCTCACCAATGTGGCTTGTCTGGCTGGCCAGCTTGCCCTGGGGATCCTGTCTCTGCCTTCTGAGGCTGGGATTGCAGGCAGTCTACCACACCCATGCTGCATTATATGGGTACTGGGCTTTGAACTGCTCTCTGTTTTCACCTCTGAGCAATCTCCCCAGCCCCCACCGCACTAATTTTTAGCAAACATTTGAGAGCCCATGGTTGCAGTATGGATAGAGAAGCCCTGCAAACCGACCCTGTGAAGTCTAGAGCTGGACTTCAGATGGTCTCCAGGGCAGGGGTCACAGGAGACGGAATGTACACTTTGAGAGGCTTTTGCCTCCTGCTGAGTGCAGTGATGGGGATGAAAGACTTGAGCACCTACTAAGTGTTTCCTGCCTTTATGGGGCCCTTTGGGGAGTTGTCAGAAAGGAGGGTCCCTGACTCAGCAAGGAGCCACAACTCAGAGCTGGCTCACCGAGGCTCAGGTAGTGTGAGGCTCTGGTCCCCTGTACCTACCTATCTGTGCCAGTGAGTCTCAATCTCAGCTTGATTGACAGGGGTCAATCTCTGGGACCTGAATACTGAACAGAGTCCACGTCCCCCACCTGGTTCCTCACCAGAAGGTAGCATCTCTATCTTGTGATCATATGGGATGCTGAGGGTTGTAACAGAAGGGGCAGGAGTGACCTGTTATGACTTGACAGAGATAAATTACAGTGTGGGGTGGATGAAGCAGGAGAATTGCTGCGACTTCAAAGTGAGTCTGGGCTGTCTCAAAACAACCAGAAGAGCCATGTGTGATGACAGTCACATGTCACAGCACTTGGGAGGTAGCAGCAGGATGATTAGTTCAGGGTCACCCTAGCTACATAGAGGCCAAAGCCAGCAGCTTCCTGTCCATTTTCCCCTCTCCCTTTAGCTCAGACTGGGCTCAGACCCAGCTATCCTCCTCCCTGAGCCTTCCATGTACTGACATGACAGGCCTCCTCTTCTGTCCCCATTCACTGACTCATCCACTCAGCACTTGCTCACCAGGCCTCTCATCCCCCTGTCCCCTGCCACCATCACTGACAATCAGGAGTGACTCAGACTCTCTCGGTCTCTAGCCACAGCTCCTGTACCAAGTGCTTATCATGTGACTGACCAATTCAGACCTACCTGTGGCCTCTCCAGATTCCTTCCTCCTCAGTCACTCTAGATATCCTCAATGGACCAATTTCCTACCCTCTCAACATAAACACCCCGAATTTTACTTATTTTTAATGGAAACAGGGTCTCTCTGTGTAGCCTTGGCTGTGCTGAAACTCACTCTATAGACCAGGCTGGCCTCAAACTCAGAGATCCTTCTGCCTCTGCCGCCTGAGTGGGATCAAAGGTGTGTGACTGTGTGTGTGTGTGTGTGTGTGTGTGTGTGTGTAGTTGGGCTTTCCCATTGGGACCATCAGCTCTCCATTAATAGCACAGTTATTAATTATAAAACTTTGCCTTCATGCTCTTACAAGTTAAATTCACCTATTTCTATTAATGTGTGTGCTGCCATGTGGCTCATGGCTATTACTTCTCCACCTACATGTCTTGTTGTTCCTTGTCCTCCTCCCAGCCCTGAAAATCCTGCCTGGCTATTGGCCATTCAGCTTTTTATTAAATCAATCAGAATGACAGATCTTCACAGTACAAAAATGATTATCCCACAGCCTTCCCCCTTTGTCTAAAACAGAGAGTTTAACTTTAACACAGTAAAACAATTATCAAGTATTGTCTAAATAGAAAGAGAAGGTGCTAACTTTAACAAATGAAACTACATACGATAAGAACAATTATCAGGCAAAAATTACATTTGCTATGTCCAGTTCACTTGTATTTGGCAAATTTAGAGAAAGAATCTCTTGATGAGTCCAAAGTTTTGTATCTAATTTATCTTCTATCATAACTAAGGAAAATTCTAACTATGATTAGCTAGTCTTCAATCCCATCAAAGACCCCATGTGGATATAATACTATCTGAGTAAACAGGAAGTGCAGTGCAAGCCACTCCCAAAACTAAGAAATGAGAGACCTCTGGTTGCCTGGACAGTCACCCCAAGGTTCCTCTGAAACAATGTGTCATCCATCTTTGGCCTACAGGCCCAGAATATCTGACAGACTTTTCTGTGAAGCAGGAATTTTGAAGGAGTGTCCTATCTTGTCTTGGCAAAGTTTGGTAGTCACTCTCTTTTGCTTCTTGCTTGTCCAGTTTGAACAGCATACTGTCAGCAGTTGAGGCAAGGGCAGTTTCTTGCCCAAATGGCTAACTTTTGCCATAAAGAAAGCAAACTCTATTTGGAATTTCTTCAATGCCCATTATTTTCTCTGATGTAGATTAGTGCTGCCAGGAACA